CTTGGACATCTGCGGGAAGGGCGAGGGAAAGACGCCCGAAAGGAAGAGTGACCGGTTCCGCATCTCTTCCATTTCCTCCCCATGTGTTTACGCCTGCATCCTCTCCCCCCCCCCCCCCCCCAGCCCGTCTGCCCTTCGGCCCCCTCCCTCCGTCCACCAGAGCGCCACGCCCTTGCCCCCTTCAGAGCTAGCTGGCCACCAGCAGCCTGAGGAAGGGAGAGTGGTGGACACCGCGCTGCCTGGCCTTGGACCCAACTCAGTTGGATGCCCTGCCTGGACACCGGAGTCGGATGCCTTGAGCTCAGCTTGCCCTCGGTCTGGGTCCTGGGCAACACACGGCCCTGGCTATCTTGGGCCCCCCTCCGAGGGGAAAGGAGCCCTTGGCCAGGGAGCGCTGCGGCCACCGTGGGTTCGGGAAGGCCTTTGTGCCAAACCCCTCCAGAAAAGGGGCCCTTCTCCCAGGCAGCCTGAGCCCTGAGGCCCTTAGTCTTGCTCCCTGCGCGCCCCAAAGTAGCTTGCGGGCTGGGAAGCGCCACCTCCAGGATGGTGGCTTCCCCAAAGCCAGGGAGTTCCCCGTCCCCCGGTCCCCAGGCGGGCGTCCCCAAGTGTCCAAAAGGGCTACCAGGCCAGCGGGCGGCTGCTCAGCCCCACCGAACAGGCTGTGGGGTTTTATCTGCAACCGGGGTTTTTTCGATCATCGCGGAGGGAGATTACGCTGTTATCAGCCTTGTGTCTGTCTCTCTCCAGCCTTGGTTGGCATCTAGCTAATCCGAGGTCAGGAAAACCCCGAAAGGTTGATCCGGCCCACAGCAGGCGGGCCAGAGGACAGAGGAGGGACACCTGGGTGCAAAGCAGCCCCTGTTTCCCCCCCACCCCTGCCCACAAGAAGAGACAGCAGGCGGCGGAGGTGGGACCCTCCTGACCCAAAGCGCACACACACACACACACACGCACACACCAGCTATCCGGCCTCATCAGCTCCTTTGGAATGGGGCTCTGCTTTGCTTAAAGGAGGCTGGTTCCTAATCCCACGGCTTGAGCCTCAGCGGGCAAAGCGACTGTGCCAGGTGCCACCCAAGGGGCATGTCCTTCCGCGCCCAGGTGAGCAGCGCTCGCCATAGATTCCCAGCTCAGGCCAAGAGGCCAGCCTCCCGGCCCCTTCCTCACCCTGCGGCACCTGTTTGGCACCCCCCACACCTGCCTTGGCTTGTGGGATGCGAATCCTGGGGGGGGGGGGAGAGGGGGAGGAAGAGAGCCAGGGCCCCATAACCAGTTTGCCAGGGGCACCTATGGAACAGGCCGGAACATTCCCGGCCTCGCTAAGCGCTTGGGGAACGCTCCGGTATGACAGCAGCCCAGGCACGTAGCCGCTGAAGACTCGCCCACCTTGCCAAGCCCCCAGCCCCCTTGCCAGCAAAACCTGGCTTTGGAGAAGGTCTGCAACTTTACCCGCAGGATGAGGCCTGAGAGCCGGTGCTCCCCCCCCCCCCCCAAAAAAAATCGCCTTTCCCTCAGATGCCCACGTATTTTTAGCAGCAGCCCGGCAAGTCTCTTCCTCCTCGTGCAGGGACATTTCCATGCCTTCCACCCCTCACCCCCGCAAGCTTTCTCTTATCACCGAGAGGGTATTTTTAGCGTGAGAACTCTCCCGCGCACCAACAGATCGCGGAGCAGGGACGGGCCCTGGAAACTCGGGCACGTGATCCGTTCAGGGAAGGAAGGCGCTCAGGCACCGTGGCCCCCAGAAGAGGGGGCCCCTGAGGCACAGGAGGGCCGCTGAGCTGATCTCCCCAGGACTCTGCTGAAGGGAGCTAGGGGGCTGACTTGCGGGCCCCCTTCGCCTGGCAGGTGCACAAAAATCTCCTGACTCGCCGTCCGCAGCCCTGGACTTTCTCCCTGCGGTCCCTAAACAGATCTAGCAGGAGCTGCCTCGCTCGTCCCTGGCGGGAAAGGCGGCTTTGCCCGGGCAAGCCCGTCCGGGGGCGGGTTTGAGGAGGGAGGGCAGGACTGACCACTCTGGGTATCGGAGCAGCTGCGTGCCCAGTGACAGCAGGCCCCACCGCCGGGGCCCCGGGAGGGCTCGCAGGCTCTGGTTGCTCCGCTATCGTGAGAAATCTTCGCCCTCCAAGCAGCCCTCCTGGGAAATTGGTCGAGGGGAGGAAGGCCAGACTGTGAAAAATAAGGATTGCAAGGAATCTGGGGGAAATACGAAGAGGCCTCGGGCTGGCCCACGGGGCAGGGAAGGAGGCCTCTCGGCTGCCTGCGATGGCCAGCAGGGCTCACCCAAAGGCGATTCACACCGGAAAAGAGCTCCCTGGTCAGCGGCAGGACATTCCAAATGGCCGCCAGCGGCACCTGCAGGAGAGCGGCCTGGCCAGCCGGTCTCTTGTCCTGCCGCCTCCCCTCCAGCGCCAAAGGGAGTGAGCGGAAGAGGGTCCGTGGCCTCCTGGGTGGCCTTCCTTTGTTCCGGAGGGAGGACAGCGCCGGGGGCTGCAATGCAAGCTCTGCTGGTGGGAAGGGGGCCACCAAGGAGATCCCACAATGGGGGAGATGGGGGCAAGCCAAGATCCCTCCCAAAGACACGAGAAAAGTGATTCCCGGGCACGAGGGGCCAGTCAGGCGTGGAAGCCACAAAGGGGCCTGGCTGCCAAGAAGGGGACCTTCTTGGGAATGACAGGGGAAAGGCTGCTTTCATGAGCCCCCCAAGAAAACGCAAAGGCCCCCGGGGGCCCCCAGCCCCACAGGGAGAAGGGCTTGGGGCCTGGGTCGTCTCCTCCAGGGGAAGGAGGCCTTCCGATTCCAGAAAGCAAGCAAGCCTCGGAGTCCATGACCTCAGATAACCAGCCCGGGGTTAGGGGAGGAGGAGGAGGAGGAGGAGGAGAACCTGCCAGCCGCCTTTCTCAGCCTGGGAACTCCACAGGGCCTTTTCCCACTGGGGGAGGGGACAGATCCGTGCCATGCTCCCAAGGATGGGAAAATGCTGGCTGGGGAAGCTTCCTTTCCTTTCCTTTCCTTTCCTTCTTTCCTTTCCTTTCCTTTCCTTTCCTTTCCCTTTCCTTTCCTCCCTTCTTTCCTTTCCTTTCTTTTCCCCTTTCCTTTCCTTCCCTTTCTTTCCTTTCCTTTCTCCTTTCCTTTCTTCCAGCCTTCTTTTCCTTTCCTTTCTTTTCCTTCCCTTTCCTTTCCTTTCCTTCTTTCCTTTCTTCCAGCCTTCCTTTCCTTTCCTTTCCTTTCTTCCAGCCTTCTTTTCCTTTCTTTTCCTTCTTTCCTTTCTTCCAGCCTTCCTTTCCTTTCCTTTCTTCCAGCCTTCTTTTCCTTTCCTTTCTTTTCCTTCTTTCCTTTCTTCCAGCCTTCCTTTCCTTTCCTTTCCTTTCTTCCAGCCTTCTTTTCCTTTCCTTTCTTTTCCTTCCCTTTCCTTTCCTTTCCTTTCCTTCTTTCCTTTCTTCCAGCCTCCCTTTCCTTTCCTTTCCTTTCTTCCAGCCTTCCCTTCCTTTCCTTTCCTTTCCTTTCCTTTCCTTTCCTTTCCTTTCCCTTCCCTTCCTTCCTTCCTTCCTCAGCAGGAAACGCCTCTACGGAGAGAAACGCCAACCCAGATCTGGCGCGTTTTAAACCATGGGGAAGCCTCAACGGTTTGCTCCATCCCAAACACCTTCAGGTGGCCTCAGGTAAGGCAAGCAGATAAGCAGGCCAGGTGGAAGGCCAACCTCTTCGCCGTCCAGGGCGGCCGTTCTGAGCAGGGTGAGGGAAGGAGCGTATCTGGGCCTGCCACCTCCCCTCACCCGATCAGCAGAGGCAGCGAAGGCTCCCCTCCCTTCTCCCCGCTTTGGACTCCGAGGGGGGACAGGCCAGAGAAAAGCACAAGGGGTGTGTGTGTGTGTGTGTGTGTGTATGTGTGTGTGCCGTTCTTCCCTGGTTGTGACCTTCATGCTCCGCTGGGTTTCTGAAGATACTGAGATCTTGGCAGGAAAACAGACCGTCTGTGGGAACCAGGCAGCAGCGCTCCGCAAGGCAGCTACCGCTGGTGAGATCCCGGCCAGGGTCCAAATGACTCCCCCCCCCCCCCCCTCCCCCCCCCCCCCCCCACCAGCCCCACTCGCTCTTCCTCCCTTCAAGAGGCTCCCGCACAAAACACAGCGGGCGAATTCTCTGCTTCGGTCAAGGAGCCTGCCCGAGCGAGCCCCTCGCCTCCCGATCGGGGCGCGAGGGGGAGCCGCTCTCTGCAGGGGACCAGGTCCTTGGGCGCCCCGACTCCCACCACGCCCCGCATCCACGACGGACGGTCTTGCCTGGAAAGAAGGCCGAGAGCTCAGGCCTTACATTCCCCACGGTCCTCCTCCACCGTGCACAAGATACGGAGATGCCCCCCCCCCCCCTCACGCCAGTCCCTCTGCCCGCTCTCTCCCTGCCCCCATAGTCCATCAGCTGGAGAAATGCTTTGTTGACCCCTGGCAGTGAGAAGGGTAGAAGGGCCAGCTTTGATCTCCCGGGCGCGGAAAGACACAATTTAAAAAAAAAAAGTGCCCGATGATTCGTACTGTGGAGAAGTCCGCCGGGGAAGCGGGCGCAGCCGAGGAGAACCGAGCCGGAGGCCCATTCGAAGCCACACTCAACCCTCTGCCCTGCCCGTAAACGCTCCCCTCGCAGCCACGAGGAGGAAACCGATCGGAAGGGGTCAGTCCATTTAAGTCCAGGAAGAGGAAACTGGCATTGCAAGCAAAAAGCATCCCCCCCACCCCTACATACACCCCCCCACCCAGCTCCTCCCAAAATCATTCCTTCTCTGTGGGGGCTCAGCCGCCTTCCTCCCGCGGACCCGAAAGGAGCATCCCAAAGGGCCGCCTCTCTCCTTCCCTCCGAGGAGAAGGGCTCTTGCCCACCTACTTAACTACTCGGCGCCCGCCCCGGTCCCACGAGGACAAGGAAGAGAACCGGACGAAGCCAATAGGACCCAGAGAAAGGGGCCTGCCGGAGGGAGAGGGCAGGGGAGGCTCCGGCCGCCTTACCTGGCAGCGGCTGAAAACATCGGCCAAGGCCACCCGGACGTTGAAGTGCTTCACGACCTGCAGGACTTGATCCCTGGCTTTCTCTGAGCAGCTCACCGAGAAACAGCGGCCTTCGCCCACTTGGGACCGCAGCTGCCGAGAAAGCAGGAGAGGAGCTGCTTGGGAGGAGGCGGCAGGGATCGGGCTGCACCTGGGAAGAGCTGGGGGAGGGAGAGGAACCACCACGGCGGCCGGGGAAGCTCCCAGCTGGGATTCCCGCCTGGCCACGGAAGAGGGAAGAGACAACCTTTCCCGGGAGAGACTCCCCCCTCTCTCTTCTCCCCACTCTACGCACTCACCGAATGAAATGGAAGGCCGGACGTTAAAATCACTCGGTTCTCTTCCCTGGCAATCTAGAAAGGAATCCATAAAAGCCAGGCTTGCTTCGGGCAACCTTTCGCTACCGGCGCAGCAGTGGGAAACCTAGGGCTCTCTGCCCTTCGTCTAAGTGGGACTACAAATGCGACAAACCCACCCTCCACACACACACACACACACACAACTGCTAGGCCCTCCACCTGCCAAAGGGTTGGCTCCCAGGCTCAGCCAAAGCCATTGGAGACGGGGACATAAGCCAGATGGACTGGGGGGCTGCTTGCAAGGAGCTTCCTGGTTCACCTGCCAGAACTGATCGTCCCCCCACCCCCATTGAGCCAAGGAAAAGAGATGGGGAGATGAGGGGGGGAATCTTTGATTAGCCAAGCGTGGCTCAAAGCCACCAAAACATCCTCAAAGATCCATCTCACCCTTTTTTTTTTGAACTATTACCCTCTGGCAGACGGTACAGGACGATCATAAAAACAAGGACAAACAGGCTGAAAAACAGCTTCTATCCCAAGGTAGCAGCTCTGTTGAATTCTACCGCATATAGTGCGACATTAACACAAGATCTTGTATGGAATGCAACTGCCGTCTCCCCTTTTTGGAAGAGCTTTAAGAAAGCTCAAAACATTCTCCCGCTGCCTCGAGAAAGTTCAAACCATTCTCAAAGATCCTGGGCATCCTTCTTTCTTTCTTTTTTTTTTTGAACTATTACCATCCGGCAGACGGTACAGGACGATCATAAAAACAAGGACAAACAGGCTGAAAAACAGCTTCTATCCCGAGGTAGCAGCTCTGTTGAATTCTACTGAATGGTGCAGCGTTGGTGCGGTTTTGGGGTTTTTCCATTCAATGTGTGGAAGGTGAAGGATGTGTGTGTTTGTGTTTATTTTCATGGTCACGATGTGCACTGAAGACGGTGTTCGACTTTGTGGTACGAGGTGCGATGACCATAAAGTAAACTAACCAACCAGCCATGTGGTACCACTAGGAAGGCCAATTGCCTGGTCTCCATGGAAACAGGAGAAGTGTGGGGGGGCAGGACTGAACCAAGCTCATCTCCGTGTTCCCTTGGGCAGCTGAGGACTTTCCTGCGGGTTGAGCCAGAGCCCCGACTGCTCTACCAGACCCAAGATTGGGCCGAGAAGGCTCGGCCCAACAGCCACCAACCTCAGCAGCCTTCCGGTGCTCATCGTCGTTCCCCAGGATCCGGACATCCACCCCGAGGCAGCGCAGGGATCGTCCCAGGCCCTGTAACATGTTGTCACAGACCACGCGGAAGTCTTGTGCCAGGATGCCGGCTGAAGGGCTGGGGGCGTCTGCCGGGACGGGCGCTGGGATCTGCGTGTGGAGGGGAAAACGGGCTCATCCGGGGTCCAGCCCCATTCTGCCAAGGTGGAGGGGCGGGGAAACTTGGTGCCCACCACGTAAAGAAGGAAGAAGAGCGGACGAAGCATGGTTGGCTGCGGGACGAGCCCAGCAGCGGCCCAGAGATTCGGCAGCCGGGCCTCCTTTCTCCAGGCTCAACCCGACATACCTCCTTGCGCGTGGGGGGCTGTCCCTGCTCCCTCCTCGGTGGCTTCTTGGCTTTCGCTCCGGGATGGCCGTCTTTCCTCATCATCGCCTCCATATCGGAGCTCAGGCCGAAGGCAGCCGGGTCTTTCAGCAACTCGGCGTGCACCTCCAGCAAGCAATAGGCATCACAGGCTGCGGAAAGGCCACCGCAGTCAGGGCTTGGTTTCTCATCCATCGCTCTTCTCTATAAACCTACGACAGCCCTGCGAGGTAGGGCAGCGCCAACTTGTGCGGCAGGGAAGCCGGGGCGGGAACAGAGCGCCTGTCCATCACCACGCAGGAAGCTCCCTGGAGTGGGAAAGGCTGGGCGGCTCCCCCAGGGAAGCTTTTGAAGTCCCCCCCCCCTCCTGCCACCGCACCCCACTCAAGGGCCCTCGTGGTCCGGCTGCTCAGCTGGAAAGGGGCAAAGGAGCCAGACCTGCGTAAAGGATTTGTGTCTCCCGAAGGGGCCTCTTCTCCCAGTTGGACAGCTGCTCCGTCTTGTTGAGGGGCCTGCCCAGGACCTCCTGCACCAGTAGGCTGAGCCCCTTCTCAGGGAGCCTGCCTCCCCAGGCCTTCTCCTTTGCCGGGCAGGGGTCCGGTGCTGGCTGGCAGCTCTTCTTGGAGCGCTTAGGCAACTGCGGAAGGAAGGAAGGAAGGAAGGAAGGAAGGAAGGGGAAGGGGAAGGGGAAGGGGAAGGGAAGGGAAGGGAAGGGAAGGGAAGGGAAGGGAAGGGAAGGGAAAGGAAAGGGAAGGAAGGAAGGAAGGAAGGAAGGAAGGAAGGAAGGAAGGA